GAATCTCAAAAACACAGAATTCTCTCTATTTATGTGCTTTTATTGATAGAAGTTCCTTCTGGAATAAACTCATAATGTAAAACTTCTTGGTAGTAAAAAAAAACAATAATCTAACTTTTCCTTTTGATCGGACAAGACGAACCTTTTTCGCTAGAGAAGAACTCGGAGTGTGCCCTTCAAGTGATTGTTTCTTCGTTTGTAAATCATAGAGATAGCACCAAGTTCCATCTCCAGTTATTGTTGTTTTCGTAAATCTCGGTTATTATTTGCACTTTAAAATAAATCACTACAAATATTCAATTTGTTCTCTTTTTGTTGTACGCTCAAGTGTCGCGGAACAAAGTAACCACAAAGTTTTTTCGTGTTTATTTTCAAGAAAAAATATTTGGCAGCTACCATTAAAATTCTATCTATTTCTGCTATCGTTTCAATATTCATTTTGCCATCAGCAAAAATTAAATCGATAACCTGCTTGAACCTGCCATCGTTGAAGTTTAGGTGTGTCCTGACCTTGGATAATACTCGATATACTCTTAGCGGTTATCTTTAAATATATTGTACCAGAAATGTACTTGAGTTTTTGAAATTGTTTCATCTTCATACGCTTCCTTTAAAAGTTTAATGTCTCAGTGAAATATTTTCTAAATTTGAAATACAATTTCATATTAGCACTTTGTTCAAAAGATGACGCGAGCGATAAACAAAGAACCTTTTTCTTCCTAAAATGGGTTTTACGCATGCGCTATAACCAGTGTTGCCAGTCTTATTCATTGTTCAGAATCTATTCTTAAATAAAAATATTCAATGTTTGGTTTTAACTCTTTATTTTTTAAAAAGTTTTTTTTCTTGTAATATAAAAAAAAAAACTGAAATCTGAATTAAAAAAAAAAAACCCTAAAAATGAAGAACCTCCCGTCGTCGAAGTTGAGGGGCGCCCTAACCTTGGATCATCTTTGATACTCTAACGGTTATTTTTAAATATATTGTACGAGAGATTTACTTCAGAGTTTTTAAAATTGTTTCATATACCATGGTACATAGGCTTTCATCAAAAAATTAATGTTTCAGTAAAATATTTTCTAAATTCAAAACAAAATCTCATGTTAGCACTTTGTTCAAAAGCTGACATTACAAAATCTGACGCGAGCTATAAACAAAGAACCTTAATCTTCCTAAAATGGAATTTACGCATGCGCTATTACCAGTGTTGCCAGTCTTATTCGTTGTTAAGAATTTATTTTTAAAATAAATATTTTTTTTTTATGTTTAGCCAACTCTTGATTTTTAAAAAGCCTAGTTACTTTTTTATCTTAGGTTGTAATAAATAAAAAAAGAACTAAAATGTGAATCAACAAAAAAGAATCCCTAAAAATAAAATATGAAACAACCTTAGAAAGAAAACAAACATAATAAAGGTTGTTAGAAAATCTAAAATAAAAAATGGCCCAAAGCCAAGCCAAAGGAACCACAAATACGAGAACCTTACCAATAGTTATAAACAAACATAAGAGTCGATATATCACCAAAATACAGCATGAAAAGTCACAGTCACAAGGTAAGCCAGATTTTGCCGAGAAAAAAACACGCCTATGAAAATGTATTTCTCTCAAATGCCGTCATTCTGTCAAAAGTAACAATGGAGCACTCCTTGGCTACGATTGCTTAACTTTTTCATCTTTGAAAAACTTATTGTATTTTATACAGATATGACAATTTTAAATATATCCGAAAAATTATTGACCTATACTAACCCTTCATTGTCAAACCAAACTTATTTTACATATCTATTCATTAAATATGATAATAATTATCAGAGAAAATTTTAAATTTCAAACTCTAAATATCTCTTTTTTTTTTCTTTCTACAGGAATAATTTTGGTGAAGTTTACCTATTTTTTATCTCAATGTAAATTGTTTATTTTAAAACTAAACCTAAGAGAGATAGAGAGTCTGAAACCCCCACTCCTCCTAAAAATCGCGGTTATAAAATTTTCAGCTTAATATAGAAAACTATAGCAACTATTCAACTATAGCAACTATTCAACTATGGCAAATGGCCAAAAGTCAGAATAGTAAATTCCAATGACGCGCATTACAATAATAATTAAACCACTGATCACTTGATTAATCTCGGTTCTTGAGATTCAAAGATGTCATCTACTTTACAATTTATCTATAGAATATTTTATATATTTATATGAAAATAACCTATGATTTGAATATATAGAATTATGAAACAAGGTTGAACAGTTTCGCTCTGACAAACGGTGTAATAATCCTCCTTACACAGACTGCCACACCGCCCTGTTAGATACGAAGAATTGCTTCAATTTCAGCGCCGGAGAAAATGCCAAGAACATAAATCAAAACGCTGCGATGTTTTTATTAACCCGGGTCATCTGGAATATTTCTTTCTGCAATCGTGGACGGAACTTGTGACAAACTCCAGTTTATTGCATTCTACTTTTATATTCTTCCTATAGTTTCAACTTATACCACATTTCTCTGACATTTTATACCCGATTTTATTCCAATATGGAAGTACCCACCTTTACAACGCCTGGGTGCTTCCTATGGACACCTTTTTCTTATTTCTAATTTGTGGGTTTATCTATATGTCGTCTGAATTAATTTTCTTAATTTTTTTTTTTTTTGTTAGAGAGTTTTATTTAAAAAAAACCTTTTATATAACTTCGACGTTCACCTAAAATATTTTTGTTAGATATTTGAATCTATAAATTATTGAAATAAAACATTGAGAAATATGTTCAAAGTTTAGTGGGGAGGTATTTTAAAGGGCTTCATGTAAATAGGATTTTTGTGTACAACACGTGGTAATTTGATTATATATTTCTTTCGCCTTGATTGTAAAAGAGCCGATTTTTTTTCCCACATTCCCATAATTCTTCTAGAGGTCGTGCGTTGTAAAAGGAAGCCTCTTTTTATTTGCATTATCAATTATTCTTGTTTTTCTCAAGAGTACCAAATCGGTTATTGAGGTCGTTTGTAACCCAGTTGTTTTCCGTGAGAGTATTGTATCGGTTATCAAGGTAGTCTATAACCCAGTTAGTATTGTATCGGTTATCAAGGTAGTCTATAACCCAGTTGTTTTCCGTGAGAGTATTGTATCGGTTATCAAGGTAGTCTATAACCCAGTTGTTTTCCGTGAGAGTATTGTATCGGTTATCAAGGTAGTCTATAACCCAGTTGTTTTCCGTGAGAGTATTGTATCGGTTATCAAGGTAGTCTATAACCCAGTTGTTTTCCGTGAGAGTATTGTATCGGTTATCAAGGTAGTCTATAACCCAGTTGTTTTCCGTGAGAGTATTGTATCGGTTATCAAGGTAGTCTATAACCCAGTTAGTATTGTATCGGCTATCAAGGTCGTCTATAACCCAGTTTTTTCCATGAGAACATTTTATCGGTTATCAGGGTAGTCTGTAACCCAGTTATCTTCCGTAATAACATTGAATCGGATTATAAAAGTTATTTGGAATACAGTTATTTAAAAACTGACGACAGTCAGGGTCTGCGTTCTATATCTGCTTTGAAGGAATTTTTACAATTATTTGTTCAAGATGACATATTCCTAGCATATAGGTCCCACTCTACTATTAAGGCAAGTATACAATCTGGTACTTTCCAGGTGCAAAGCCCATTAATAAAAATTAAAAAAAAACTCATGAAATATCGCGATCGTTCACAAGCTATTATTATTTTCTCTCTATCAACTTTTGGTCGTCGCTCTCAAAATGAATACATCCAACTTGCTTATAAACTTGCTCTTTCTTCCTTGGAAATTATTCTTTAATGTTTCATACACTGAAATGGGCCCATCCAACTAAATTCTTAATTTTCAGTGCCAAGCCTCGACAATATTCTAAATGTGCGGACTTCCCAGATTTGAGGGATTAAGCACGGACTTGAGTGAAAACAAGAAATAAATGCGAACGTTAATACCATTATGCAAGGGGATCCTCAATCGTCCATCAAAATTGGGTGGTCAGTCATTGAAAAAAAAAAATATAACTTTCTAAAACTTTCTTTGATTAAAAATTGTTGTATTTAGACCTTGTAAAGGTTTCGGCGCAAACCCTTTGAAGCCCCTTTTTTTGGGATATGAAAATTATTCAAACATAAACCAGAAATGACAATTACATTACACAAAGAAAACATACATTCCAAGGAGGAAAGATTGATCATAGACTCACTTATGTTCTTTATTTATAGCATCCTAAATACAAAGCTAGATCTACAGTATTAATATAAAACATGATTAGACAATAGTCAGACCATTTGTTTATCTCAACTACTCGAGGGAAAGAATCGACATTCTATTTTACCAATTAATTGGGCAAACCTATTTGCTTTTGATCTGTAGAAAGGGAATGAAAAGATACATTTTTCTATCTTTTTATAAATTTTATTGTTTATTGAATTTGTTTAATTTAAAATGAAAAACAATGCGAAACACAATTGAAAACGTATTAATATCTGAATATAAAATTATTTATTGTTCTGAAAGAAAGTAGAAAATGTGCTAAAACATTACAGGCATATTAAGGTACTGAGGCCAACATCTAGAGCAATATTAGGGAAATAAATTCTTAGTAGGACCATGGCTTTTCAACGGTCACACTTAGGCCAAGGGTCGGCAAACCTTTGAGTCGGAAGAGTCAAACATTACAATTTACAAAATTGCTAAGTTTTTAAAGAGCCACATTTTTCCCGCCAAAATCAAATAGTACTCGCATAAGTAATATATATAATGCATTGCGGCCTGTGATTGTAAAACGACACTTAAAGTTACACCGCATGAGTTTCTTTTCAACGAAAACTCAAAACTTATTTCAAGGTGAAATATCGACTATTTCTAACCTTTATGGATCAGGTATGAGAAAGGGTGAATTATGAAGAGTAATGATGAACGGAAAAATAAAAGTGTCCAGGGATAGGAATCGAACCCACAATGTTCCGCTTCCGCTAATACGGAAAAATACGTCCAGGGTAGCCTAGTGGACATGGCATCTGCCCGGTAAGCGGAACATTGTGGGTTCGATTCCCATCACTGGACACTTTTACTTTTCCGTTCATCATTACTCTTCATAATTCATCCTTTCATACTTCATCCAAAAAGGTTAGAAATAGTCGATATTTCACCTTGAAATAAGTTTTGATTTTTTGTTGAAAAGAAACTCATGCGGTGTAACTTCAAGTGTCGTTTTATAAATAATATTTGCTTATGTAACTATATAAAGAGCCGCAGCTTCACATCCAAAGAGCCGCGAGCGAGCCGCAGTTTACCGACCCCTACACTAGGCTATTGCAGTCACATTATATATTAAGTCACATTGTAAACATCGACTTGAGGCCAGTAGAGATCTACAACGAAGTTTTTACTCTACATGCTTTTCCGCCAAGACCACAAAGGATAGCCAACTTTATTAAATTATTCCAATTCTTCTAAATAAATATTGCCCTGTTAGATTCCATTGGTCCAATAGATATCTTTAGAGCCGTACTATAAATAGAATAGAGTCAGTTCTCAGACTTGTGTGTGCTAGAAGTTGGTTCTTTGTCAGCCAGGGATCGATACTGATTGGACTACAAGACTAATTGGACCGGCCTATCTTCAGGATCTAATGATGATGTTGATTTGGGAGGCAAATATTTTACAATCTCCTCCTCTCTAGGTCTTCTAATTATTTCCAATAAATTATTTCAAACTTTAGAGAAATATTTGACGAAAATTATAAATATTGTTACACCTGCCTCGACCGTAGGTGCTTCTAAAGGTTTCTGATCAGCGTTTGCCATTTCATAAAATAAACCAGACCGCGTTCTCATAAAGCAAGCAACTATATTTATTAATAACGAAAGAGTTAAAACTGACTCTATGAGATTTAGAGTAACAACGAACTAAACTCAACAAAACAAAAGAAGCTCTCCCGACTCATTGTATCTCGCTCTTATATAAAAAGCCTTATTTACATAAATTTCTATTACCAATTATTTTATACTAATTTACATATTTTTACACGATAACTATGCAGAGTGTGACACTTCTCCCTCCTCCGAAATGGTCGCGTCCTCGTGACCGTCTTCCATTCTCGCAAAGTAAGGCTTGATTCTGCTTATGTGAACCGTTGTAGGCTGTGTGCGGTTCCCAGGGTTATCTTCTGGCACGATGGAGTAGTTCACATCGGAAATTTTTTTCAGCACGATGTAGGGTCCGAAATAGCGTCTCAAAAGTTTCTCACATTTTCCAGGTTTTCTTATTGGAGTCCACAGCGCTACCAAATCACCTGGTTCATATCCAGTTTGCCGATGTTTTTGGTTGTAATGATTAATCATTTTTTTCTGACTTTTCTCGGTATTAACTTTCACAATCTCTCTCGTTCTCACGATTTTTTCCATCAACTTGCTCACGTACTCGTCATAATCCTCCGAATCGGGCTCAATGAAGATATTCGTGTCATCCAAAATCGAGACTGGTTCCCTTCCATACAAAAGGAAGAACGGGGAATATTTGGTTGTTTCTTGTATTGTCGTATTGTAAGCATGGGTTATGAATGGGAGTATCTCGTCCCAATTCCTTTGATCTACGTTCACGTACATGCTTATCATATTGATCAATGTTCTGTTCAATCGCTCTGTGAGGCCATTTGTTTGTGGGTGATAGCTTGTTGTGAGGCAATGCTGAATTTGACATATCTTGGTTATTTCTTTCACCAAATTGCTCGTGAATTGGCTTCCTCTATCGCTAATCAGATACCGTGGGGCTCCATGTTTCAAAATCACATTTTCTGTCAGAAATTTAGCAACCTCCCTCGCTGTGGCATCGATGACAGCCTTCGTTTCCGCATATTTTGTGTAATAGTCGGTCAATACTATCATCCACTTCTTTCTGTTCTTCGTAGATGGCAATGGTCCCAAAAAGTCGATCCCAACTCTCTCGAAGGGATAATTTGCAGCAGGGATCGGATGAAGTAGGCCAGCAGGCAACTGATTAGAACCCTTCCTGCTTTGGCACAGATGGCAGGTCCTAACATATTCCACCACATCTTTCAGCATGGATGGCCAGAAATATTTATCCTTTAGACGGTGCATTGTTCTGGTCACACCTAAATGGCCACAGATCATATGATTGTGGTACTCTTTTAAAATGTCCTTCCTTCTCCCTCTGGGTACCACAAGCAGCCAGGCTCTTCCTTCTGGCCTCGGATTTCTTTTGTACAGACATCCGTTTTCTTCTTTAAAATTTTCAACGATCGATCGCCTGCCCTCCGTGTCACCGAGGCATCTCTTGATGTTTTCGATATATTCGTCGGAATCCTCGATGACTGGGTTGAAAAACAAACTATCATAGTTATCGTCAAAATCAGCCTCTGGTAATGGACCTCGTGAAAGACCATCTGCATCCAAATGTTTTTTCCCGGATTTATAAATTATTTCGAAGTCATATTCTTGTATTTTTAATGCCCATCTTGCAAGTCTACCTGTTGGATCCCGTAGGTTTCTTAACCAACACAATGCGTGATGGTCCGTCATAACTTTGAAGCGCCTTCCATATAGATAAGGCCGTAACTTCGACATTGACCATACTAATGCCAAGCATTCCTTCTCCGTTGTCGAATAATTACGTTCTGGCTTGCTTAATGATCGACTTATGTATGAAATTACTTTTTCTTGACCATTGATAGTTTGAACAAGGGTAGCACCCAGGCCAATATTTGATGCATCGGTGTGGATCTGGGTCGGTGCTTCTGGGTCAAAATGTGACAATATCGGGGGATTTGTTAGCAAAGATTTCAGAGTTATAAATGCTTCTTCCTGAGATTCTGACCAGATGAATGGAGAATCTTTTCTTGTTAGTTTGAACAGTGGGTCAGCTATTCGCGAGAAGTTCTTAATGAATTTCCTGTAATATGAGCAAAGTCCTATGAATGACTGAATTTCCTTTGTCTTTGAAGGACGGGGAAAATCTCTAATCGCTTTAACATTATGATCTGCCGGTTTAATTCCATGTTTGCTTGTCACGTGACCGAGTATTTCAATTTCTTCAAATCCGAATCGGCACTTTTTCCCATTAAGCCTCAGGTTCGATTCACGAAAGCACTTTAAGACAGCCTCAATCCTTCCGAGATGAGTGGTAAAGTCGGGACTGTATATAACAACGTCATCTAGGTAACAGAGGCAAAATTTCCATTTAATGTTTTTTAGTACATTGTCCATAATTCTTTCGAAAGTAGCTGGGGCATTGCACAACCCAAATGGCATAACATTAAATTCGTATAAACCGTGGGATGTTGTAAAGGCCGTCTTCTTCTTGTCTTGTTCCTCGATCTCTACCTGCCAGTATCCCGATCTGAGATCTATGGCCGTGAAATATCTAGATCCCTGAAGTGTGTCCATAACATCATCAATTCTGGGGATCGGATAAACATCCTTTACCGTTATGCTGTTCAGTTTCCTGTAGTCCACACAAAATCGCCAATTGCCATCTCTCTTTCTAACCAAAATAACCGGAAAAGCCCATGGACTAGAAGATGCCCTTATTACTCCCTCCTGGAGCATATCCTGAATTTGTTCTTTGATGATGTCTCGCTCCTTAGGGCTAACTCTGTACGGTTTGTGTTTTATCGGCTTCGCATTTTCTGTATCAATTCTATGTTTGGCCAAATTCGTCTTGCCCAATTTTGATGAAAATAGATCACTGTATTTCGATAAAACTTGCCTTAATTCATTCTTTTGGCTTAATGTCAGGTCCTCGTTTATCTGAATTTCCGTCACCTTATCTTCCTCATCATTTTCTATATAATTAACCGTGGTGGGAGGACTTGCGTAGCCCAAGGTCTGATTCTTCATTATTTTTAATGTTCGAGGATAAGGATTAGTTATCCATAAATCCGCTAATTTGTTTCTTACCGTGATCAGACATCTAGCAATTCTAAGCCCATTTGTAAGAGTTAGCCTTTCATTTGGTTCAACCACGTATTCGCCATCACCGGCCTTCACGGTTACCCTGACTAGTTTAACACAAAGTTGAGGCACTACTTCATCCTGCTGATTGATTATCTTCCTGGGTGCTTCGTTCGAGTCTTGACACTCGGTCACAATGTCATATTCCAAAATATCCTGTTTGCAATTTATTTTCGCATTTAAACGCCTGAGAAGATCTCTTCCAATTATTAATGACCTCATATTGGACTCCAGAACTACAAATCTATGATTCAACGACTTTTCGTCAATTTTTATATCCATTGAAATGCTTCCCAATATATTAAGCCTTTTACCATCTGGGCCAATACACTTTCCATTATATGTCTCAATACGAACGCCAGTTTCGAGAGCAGTTCTCAAATCCACAATCGAGAGATCCGCGCCTGTGTCAACCAAGGCTTCCAATATTCCAATTCTATCAACACTCACATTTATTCGGCTTTTTGAATCCATCTCTGTGATCGCGCCTATTTTCGACATGCCCTGGTTGACTGGAACAGGCGCGCTTTCTAGTTTAAATCCTCCAATACCTCGAATCTGTTGTGAGTTGGAATGCTTGGTCTCTCACACACATCGGCGTATACCTCTGGGCTCAGGTTTCGGGTGTTCAGCGGTTTTTTGTCATCAGACGGGCTGTCTAGGCTTGGGGGAACTTCCCCAACCATGCGAACATATTTTATTCTGCAATACTTTGCCACATGCCCCGGTCTATTACATCTAAAGCAGATAGGTCGTCCATCCTCGGTTCTACCTCTATCATTCCGAGGTTTTCTATCATAAGTGTTGCCAGAAGGAGTTCGTCTATATGTATCCTTTTGGGTGGATCGGGGAAATGTACGAGTCTCCTGTGGGGGGAAGTAAGTTTGGTTTTGTCTTGGTGCTCCCATCATAGGCCTCGAATAATTTTCAGTTTTATACGATTGAAACTCCCTTGGTTGCCTGTTCCATCCAGAATGATTAGTTTCTTTTTGAGAAATCCGATTCATAAGAATTTTATTCTTCTCCTTTCGCTCCAGGTATTCCTTCTCGAACCCATCGATTTTCTTGCATGCCTCCAGAAGTTCGTCGATGG